TAAATGACATGCTTAGTGCTTTTTCTCATTCAACTAGTCATACTTCACAACCACTGGGGCCAATTCATCCCATTGTCACCAGTACATGCTCTTCTATATAGATACCTACTCAGCATAGACATATATAGTATGTGGTATATTGTCCACACTGTGTAGGTGTACTTTTACGAGTACATTTCTTTTGTTTATAGTTTGTAGTTGGACTATAAATCAATTTAAGCTCCACTAACTGTTTTATTAGTAAACATTTGTGAAAATGTCGCCTTGCAATTGTAAGTGCAACAAGTTTCTTTGTAATTATTATATTTATACAAATTTATGACTTGACTAAAGTAACTTTAACAACTATTTCATAAACAATTCCGAAGAATTCAAGAATGCTTTTTTGTAGTACATGCTTATATATGTTTTATCTATATTTATACTTTAAGTGCTTTAAGTAATAAAGCCATATATTCCCATACACTCGTATATATTGTATTCTCCACGTTTTCTGTTAAAACATTTTTACCTTCCTACGACATGCATACTCGGGTCACTTAATAATAGCACCAAATGGAATAATTGCTTTAGCAATAAAGGTGTGTAGCCAACGTAGCAGGAAAAGTTATAAAAATGGAAAAGTTAGACAATGTTTCTAATTAATGCAGTACGTGAACATCCCATTTTGAGCAATGCTGAACAATCGTAACGTTAGAGCACGTGTCAACTCATCAACAAAAAATGTATAAAAATACATATATTATACATTATACATAAATACATATAAAAATACATATATACATTCATACCCACCCTTCCGCTATAAACTAGAACTATTCTAACTAATACGTGTATAACCTCCAAAAGTCATAAGTCATGAGATGAAAAGAAGCTTTGCGCATTACATTAATAAACATAAATGTATATATTTTGATTATACTTATAGTAATTTTATTTATTTCTTTATATATTGAATTATTTAATATGACAATATTAAATGAAACTATCAACGTTCGTTTTAAATATTTGATTTTTAAAGGAAAATAAAATTGAGTTTAGTGAATAAATATGATGACTAAAATCAATTACCACCTAGAATTTTAACTGATGCTGTTTTTAACTGATTAACTTTGCGATATATATATATATATATAGACTAGCATTATATATTTTCACAGAAAATAAACCAAAGGAATTCACAGGGTAACTACATGAAGTTATTAGCTTATTGAATGTTTTCTGTTTAGTACTAACTGTGTGTGTGGCCCAGCTAATGTCCAGCGTCGACTCAATGATTCAAAGTTCCCTTTCCTGAGAATTTTGACCAATTACAAGACCGCCAAAGGTTCTAGGTGCCTTTAAACCCTGAGTTTTTCCTATATATACAGTAACACAAAAAGGCCTAAATGGATCCACTAGAGATCGCCGGTATAACCTAACCTAACCTAACTATATGCATGAGTTCAACTAAATTATTTGCTTTGTAATTGATAAAATTACTTTGGTATAAATATATTTATTTTGAAGTGGTAAAGCATACTGAATTAAAAATTATCTGCCATTTGTTAAAATATATTTATGCTAAAATAGTAAAACTTACTAGATATGGTTGTAGTGAAAGTTTACTCAAAACGCTCGTGCTAACTCAAAAATCAAACTTTTTAACAATTTCTCCTGTAAATAGAATATTTATATCAGTTTATTTTTTGTTTTGTTGTAATAATCATTACTATTTTTATATATAAAGTTTTTCAAAAAGTTTGTTATTGAGTCGTATTATTGCATTCATTATGTTCTATTTATTACTTCTAATGTTTGTATTTTTATTTTACAACTTTATAAATTTTTTTGAGAGATTTCGAAAAATAGTAAATTACAACAATAACAACTTTTTTTTTATATTATTTTAATATAAATATTAAAATATATATATATTTTGTATTTTTACATACAGCTATTTCGAGTATTACCAAATACCCATTATCAGCAATCTTGGAATTATTTCTTATATTTAATTATTCTTAATTATTTTTTTGAGACTACAAGTACCAGGAATCGTATACGTGTCCTGCCAAATTTGACGTTCAGAGTCAGCGTTCATTAGTCAACTGACCCAAATCTACACTTGAACTTTGTGTTTTGTTAATTTGCTGTAAAAGTTCATTAACAAATTCACTTGATGTGTTATATTAGAACAAAATCACAAACCAGCTGTAGTATATTTAAATGATTAATTATATTTATATTTTTAAATGTTAAATATACAATCTTTTTTTTACTATCCTTATTGCATGCTTTTTTTATATTATTCTTTCTTGTGTATAGAACCTTATCTGGGGACGTAATACGTAGAAAGTCATGCTAATGTTACTTTACGATTCGTAATTTTAATATACATAGTTTTCTTACCTATATACACACGTCAAGACAATAATTGCTTTTCAACTGTTGTTTCAGCTTCGGCTTCCTCTTTATTATAGAAGCAAATATAGAAAAAAATAACTGTTTGTCTTGTATTATAAATTAAATAATGCAGCTTAGTTATTGAAATAATATAACATTAAATAATAAAAAATTATTGTTAAAAGAATTTAATTCCGTTAAAAGTGATATTCATAGTTCTAACGGTCTAAACAAGTGGATTTCTATCATTTTTAGTAGTACAGTACTTTAAATACCTGGGTGTTGCGTATTAGCGACAGCAATAAAAGCTATGAAATCGCCGAAAAAAAAGAACCACTAGTAAATGCTTATATGTTCATGGGAAGTTTTTCAAGTGCAGCATATTTAATGGAGCAACAAAGCAGGAAATACTAAACCCATTAAACTTGTCGGCTATTTAAATGAGACTGAAAGGATTTTCACTCCTGATGTAATTGATATAATAAAAAATCGTATACAACTTTTGACCAATTTATCGGAATTTTAGTTACCATGAATGTTCAAAAGACTCGGAACCTGTTTCAGATTAACCATTGAATGCATCGATATATTATTCAAAATGTACGACATTCTGACACAAGCTTAGTAAATTTAAAAACTAAAAATGTAAATATTCTTACCGATTATTTTATTTATTTTATCAAAGTTATATTGCAAAAAAGAAGGAAGTAAAAAATTCTTGCCATTCGTGTCACCATTTGTTAGCCATTGGAATCGGTTGTTACTGTGAAACATATTAGAACCAGTTCGAGAAGACGCTGGCACTGATGATATTAGATGCAACAATGAGTTCAAACATATAATCTGCAAAAAAACACTGATTAGGACATAAACTAAGTCGCCACGAGAATGTAGTCATCAAAAAAAGAACGTCACACCAAGCATTTGATGTGAAAACGAGACATGACTGAGAAACTTTAATTAAACCATATCTATAATGCTAAGGTCGTAAACTCTTAAAAACGAAAAAAATTTAACTTATAACTTGAAACTTGAACATTGAAAGTTTGTACAGCCATCGCTACTTGTGGAAAAACACGATTAGTCAACAATTCTAATTCTTATCTAATTCTAATTCTAATTTGACAGAGATGAGTTCTAAGCCTGGCACTTGCAGCCCAACACAATATATACACTCTATAAACAATTTAAATAAAAATTCGAATATTTCATAAGTTCACTGATGATGAGTACTTGGAAACCCTCGATACAGGTATAGTCAGAAAAATGTCAATAAATTAACTAAAATTTTTCTTGTTGTCTTTTTATTTCTATTCGAACCCTTCTTACTTTTAAATAGTTTCTTTTAGTCATAACAGAAAGCGTCACTTTCGTCAAAAAAAAATGATTTTTATAATGTTCGTACAGAAATCATTGAGAGAAAAATGAATCATATGCACTTAAAACTTGTGTGTATTTAGTGTTCGCAAATAAATTTTTTAATTAACTTTTTGATTAAAAATGAATATTTTTAATATTATATAAAAAGCAATATTCTGTTACAGATCTATGTGTAGGTTGAAGCACATTAAAACGTATTACTTGTCATTTCTATTTTAATATTATGTCAAACAAATAACATAATACAGACTTGATGTAATGAATAAAATTTCTCAAGAATGATAAGAAATTAAAAAATTTATTTTTATACAACACAGAAATGAAAGTAATTTTATTTCATATTTCTGAACAAATAACAGATATGACTGTGCTCTCTAGTATGGAACTGTGAAATGGAGTTTTAAATATCCAATTTATTGCAGCAACAGGAAAAAAGCACACAACAGTGCTCGTATATTTTCTGTACTTATTTCTTTAGCAAATAAAAAGTCAATTTAATATAAGTAATAAAATACAAAAAACATTATTCCGTAGGATATTCAGTTCTCGTATATGGAACATTATTACATATTTTATATCCTTACAGAATACAATAAACACATAAATTATTTCTTTTTCCTGTCATTCTTTAAGATTGTCAAGAAAAAAAACAACACATATTCTTGCTTTCTATAAAGCCAGCTATGGCCGTAGATAAAGGAGCAAACATCTGCAAAATCTGAAATTTAAAAATATTTCGCAATTATTAAATTTTTCTAATCCTTAATTAAAATTTTTATTTATCTTTTAAGAAAATTGAAATCAAATATTTAATAAAACAAAAATTCTATAAGGTACTGAAAATATTCAAATATTATAGGCTTCCTAATCATTGTAGCATCTTTTAAGTGGAAATTCTTAGTATTAAATGTCTAAAAGGATTTAATACGTTAAATAATTGTAAGGGATTCACAAAAACAAAGTATACAGAAATATGGAATCGCATAAATCAAATAACAAAATTAAGACATACTCTAAGAGCACATGTTACGAAATAAAACTCTGTAAAGTAGGTTCTATACTATTTTTTATCGATGCAACAGTGCTTAGAGACCTATTTTAAATCCAAAAGTGGACATAATACACCCGAC